ACCATTTCAACTCGTTACGCCATTGTAGCCTTTTGATATGGTCTGTACTTTTGTATTTGATGACAACTATCTCTCTGTCATTAGCAGTAATAAAGCCATCATAGCTTGTTCAAGATTTGCTAGATGTTACATTTTTTTCGTTGCTACAGTGATATAAGCAATACGCCTAGGTTAATGTCACCATATTGTTTGTATTTATTACTATGTCTTGTGATTAATTAAAAAAAAATGATTCGTTTGATTCTGAAAGGGAAGATTTACTGGTGGAATAGTCCAGAGTAAGGTATGATAAGGAATACAACAGATTTACTTAAGAGCTTGTCGCAAAAATATACTAAGAATTCATGAAAATACTTTAATCGCTTATTTTGGCGATAAGACAATTTTAAAACCAAATAATTTTCTTCACTTGGTGCTACTATTCCTTGCTGAAAACCACTTTTGGATATGAAGAAGAACATAAATATTGAAAAATATTTTAGACTAGGAAAAAAATAGTTGGATATGGGGCTAAAACGTCCAGTGTATTTAGTAGAAAGGGTGTGGGTAGATTTTCTATGGAAGCATCAGTCGACGATTTTTTGATGATGAAGGTAGAATTTATTCTATTATTTCTTAAGATTTAACTTTATCCCAGACGCAAGAAAATGTAAAGGTTTTAAATGATTTTTCATTGTTTCAGATTTCCTTAGCCATAGGATAGCGGGAACATGTTGTCGAGAATAGTTGGCCAAAATGATGTTAAATTACATATATCGAACAACACGATAACATTGTTATCAATATTCTCGATTGAAAAACACGCATCATCTAATACAGAATTAAAAATGACTAGACTTTTGTCATGAAAATAGCAGCGATATATTTAAAAAAATTAATCTGATGATGGCCCCTCGAAGACGAAACGTCGGATTGCAAAAATGTTGCCGCCATTGGATAGAGCGAAAAAGTGGCAATATAAATATGCAATTTATTTAAAATTCGTTTTCAAATAAAGCCGGAAAAGAAATAAAACGATTTTGCAAAATTTCGGGTTTTCGGATTTCGCATCAACAGTAGACTTTGCAGTTAATACTTTGTATTGCTGAATTCTCAAATCATCCAGATATAATTTATCATTTGTGCATTTGTAATTCGACTTACATGTTTATAGCAATGCTGTACAAAAATAAAGTTTTGGGTCAAACAATGAGGCACAGTTTTTTTAAATTTTTTTCCGTAGAATTGAATGGTGTAATCAGTTTTGGAATGTTTTTTAATTTAAACAAATTATCTGAAAAATATATAATATATAAGAATATAACTGAAAAGTTCATTGGTGTAAGTCATTTTTTACTTTTTTGCATTTTTGAGCATGTTTTTGAACTGTGATTACAAATTTTTTTATTTCACCAAAAAGTATATGTCAAAACAAAAAAATTATTACCGGCAGAACTCTGTACGATGATTTTTTTAAGTAGAATTTTTCTTTGAAAAAAGTGTTTCAGGCCGAAAAAAATGAATACCTCAGAAACTTCTTGATTTTTTTATCTAAAAAAAATTGAGGTTATTTAAGACAGAGAAAGGTATACTTTCACCAATTTTCGTCAAAATTAAATTTTTTTTGCGGAAATAAGAAATAAAAAAAGAAAAATCTGAAAAAACCTGTTTTTCGCATTTTTCTCGGAAACTTTGAGGTTATGTTAAAAAATTACCTCTACAAAAGTTGTAGATTTTTGCATGATCTACAACTTTAGTATTGGATACTTTTTTATTTGACGTCAACTTTCGCCAATGATACAATTTTTCATAACTTTTCAACCACCCAAATCAACCCTCCGCCGCCCCTGCTCACGCATTTATTTTTTTTAGGTTTATTATAAGCCCTTTTACCATTTCCACTTATAAAAGTCCAGGTAAATTTTTTTTTCTCCAAGTGTAATTTGGTTGGACTATATACATATATTAAAATCACGTGAATGTCACTAAATCGACCATAACAATTTAATTTAATTGATATGTTTCAAGATTTTTTATTTTTATTCATTTTCTTCAAAAAACTAAATTAATTTCGTTTTTTATTTGTTTTAACATTATACCTATAATTTTATTCAATAATAATTTTCACAATAAAAGATACACGTTTCCATAATGAAAACTAAAGTAGAGCTATGATTACCTGAAATGAAACTAATAATAATTTTTTTATGCAGTATGTAACTCTCGGGGGCACTTCCAGAGGTTCTCAATAGGTTTTAACATTTATTATTATTACTAATTTGAAGCGCCATTTTGCAGTCTCAATTATTTTGATTATTGAAAATACTAATGATGAGTGTAAGTAGAATACCTACTATTAAAGATCCTATCCATGTTTGAAAACATCCTGTATACGTAGGCGACATATTTTTCTAATAAATAAACGTGGAATTAAGAAATCACACAACAAACCGGTTGAAAAAATAATATTTTTAGCTCAAGCACAATGAACAATGTACTTGTGCAAGAAATAGAGCCATAAAATATTGTTGCAAAAAAATGGGAAGGGAAGAAGAAAATACAATTAGTCTATACGAAAAATAGTTACAACAATAGAAAAATTGGAAAACGTGCAAAATATCTACTGCAAACATCTGTTTACAACTCTATAATATACACATATTTTTTTTAAGTACAAGGAAGAAAATTGTAGCTAGTGGACAACGATTGGTTATGTGTCATAAGTTACTACACTTTATTAAAACACATTATTAAATAAATAATTATTAATGGTTAGTTTAAAAATACAAATAAAATACTGAATCTAGAAAAAAACGTAACAGGCCTGACTGACCTAACGAGTAAATACAACAGGAAGATTTTTTTCATCTGTTTACTGTGAAGCTAGAAGTTGAATTGTCTAATCATAGCAAATATGGTGTTTATTTACGTCTTTTAACATTCTTTGTTTCGGAAGCATTTTCGCACCCACGTTTTTATATCCTTAAGTACTTAACCGTTATAGTATGTAATTCCGTTTGCGAAATATCCTCTAATTTACCTCAATTCCTTTCGTTTAGCGGTTGAATGTCAAATATTTTTTTAGTGGCTGTGCATATAAAAAAATCATTTTGTATTTATTTAAAAAAAGACAATAAATAATTGTATTTGTAACAATTATAGTTTTTAATATAACAAAATTATACTTATTATATGTATTATTATTTATACCTGTAATAAATTTTAAAAAGGAAAAGTTTCAAAACTTTTTTGCCGAAATATGTCCATAGTAGATTCTTCATTGGAGGTGACAGTTCAAAATTTAGAAACTTTTCAAATTGTCAAAAAAAAAGGAATGTTAGACACTTTTTTAGGTACTTATATTTAAGAATCGATAACTCGACCAAGATGGAACATGTTGGATACAAAGTGTATGCCTACATTTTAATTAATAAATCCTGTAATTCCTCCTTGAATTACTGTAAATCCTTAGTAGCTCCAACTACTATGCTTGTACTATTCTAAATCTCAGCATATCCCAGTAATTCTTTAGAAAATTCTCCTACGTACCAGAAATATCAAGTACTGTCCCATAAATCCTTATTATACACCCGGTACATATTTTACTTACATGTATCAACATCTGACACTTCCATAATTAGACTGCCTAACCTCTTCATTATATGTTGCGTCCAAAAACAATAATATTTACGTCTAAAAATATCTCCGCGAATTACAGAATATTAGTGTGCATGTGTAATAACACATACAAGGATATCCCAAAATCAACATGCAATAACGTATTATGTAACAAAATATAAGAAAAAAAGTTTTTGTAAACATATACATAGTAATGCCTCTTAAGGAGTTACAATGTCTTAGTGGTGAGTCTCTAAATTTATCTTAAATCTTCGACATTATGGTCAGTATATTTCGTGTTAAAAAGTACATTGACGACAAAAAATATGTATAATTGAAAAGCAAATCAGTTCGAACCGTCAGATTCAGCCTGAAAAATAGTTGGACAGTTACTAAGGTTTAGCTGCTCTAACACTCTGGAGTTCTAGAACCGTTTGTGTCCCAACAGCTATCTTCTGTCAAAAGGTTAATTCTCTTCCGATTCAATTTATCCCTCCCAGGAAGGAGAACGTCGCAAAGCAGTTTGCACGCAGTGGCTTTCCAAATCTTCCAGAAATATTTAGCATCCCATGGTGTCAGTTTAAAAAGCATTAATAACAGTTTGCTTTTACCTGTGTACTACTCACCTAACTTCTCTTTCCAGTAATATATGGAGAGGTGACAACTACAATAGGATTTCCAAAGCAGCTGATTGTGTTGAGCTGATTGTTCTAGTTATAATCAAACACTTTTGTTTCTGTAAACCAGATAATTTGACTTTGGTTATCTTTCGAATACTGTTAGACGATCTTAGTGCATATAGCCTGTATAGTTGTCTTATAATTTGAATAATGAAACCAATCTGAACCGAATAAGTTGGTGGGTCTCAAATTGACCAGTTTCTATTCTCAAATAAGTTTTAAATATTTGACTAAAAATAAAAAGTGTTCTAAATGAATATGATTAATATTACTGAAATAATTTTGAATGGTCCTGCAAATAATGCTCGGAGGTCTGTTCTAACGCATAGACAATCTCGTACGCTGTAATGCAAGCCGCAACTGAAAGAAGATACATTTTTATAAACAACTGAATAAATAAAGTATTTGCACATGTGAAAGTCACTTTTGAGTACTACAATTGCATCTCGTGTTTATAATGGGTTCCCATTGGGACAAAACTTCATTCCTACGTAAAAATACGATTACAGCTGAAAATTATTGCAAAAAAATCCGATACGGTGGCTGTACTAAATACATGACAGTGAATCACGATTCAATAGGTATATATAAAAGGGGAGTCTTCTGCAGATTCATTCAACAGTTTCCAGTCCTTTAGATCTAGTTGTACCTCATAGTTGGTTTTACATATGGTTTAAGTTTAGTTTCTTTTATTTAATTGTTTTAATCGCACCTCAGCTCATTATGGATAAGGTAAGGTCGACTAGGCATAATTTTATCTTATTTGGGTTTATTTATTCTATGAATGTGATTATTTCATAATACAGTTAAAATACAAAGATGAATCGCAAGCATAACGAAAAATGGGATAAGGAGAATATAAAAATATATATTTTCCGATATTTTCAAAAATATATTTCAAATTTGCCTTCTTATGACAGACTACTATTAGCTTTACAAGATTGTGTTAATACATGTCTCAAAATACCAAGATATTTTTTAAATAAAAACAACTAATATTCAAGTTGGTAATCACTTTGTTAAGATGTCTCGCTTGCATAATTTTCAGTAAATATAGTATAGTAACGTTTTTGATTACACCCTGTATAAATTTAATTCTGTTTGTTGTAATTTTTCGTTTCTATATATTGTGCTTTTCTATGATATAAGAATACATAACCGTTATACTCAGTACAATCTCTTAAAAAAAATAGAAAAAGAAATATTATTTCTTTTAATAAATCTCCAAAAGTAGATATTTTAATACATGGAAAGTTGTTTTTTCACCATATAAATATTAGTAGAAATAATTTTTTATATTATGTATTGTAGATTTTATGACTATCAAAAAGTTTAAATTTTATTTAATTATGTAAAAAAATGGAAATATGTCAAACTAAATCACTACACATAGTTGTATAAACATTATAAAGCACATTTTTGAATAAGTTATCCACATGATTTACCATTGTTGGCTTTGAGCTTATTTAAAACCACAGCAATTTAATAACTTCAATTACTGCAGTTTTAAATAAACTCATAGTTGTTAATGGTTACCACGTGCAGAAATATAAGTTTATACCTCTACAGAATTTGGGTTGTATTTAGTACATTGAAAATAAGGTTCTGCTCCACCATAAATAATACCCTCATTTTATCATTTTTCTACATAGGAAATGTGTACGGATAAAAGTTTTCCAGTACCAAGTTGTGTAAAATTGAATATAGAATTATAGAGATGTAGACCTAATATGAGTTTTCTAAAAGAAATAAGTATCCTGTATATGTGTTTTTGTGAGTTGAATAGCCTTCTTTCGATTACAGTAATCTAAAGTTTCTAAGGAAATATACCCAAAAGAATATGCCACACTCTTAATGTTTTATAAACATATTATTATTATTTTTCGGACAACCAGGTATTTTTTAACATATCATGCACATACTTTTGGACCCATCTCCTTTGTTTTAGATACATTTTAAATCTTATATCTCTGTAGTCGCATGAAAGCGTTTTATCTAAATATGCAGGACGTTCCGTTAGAAAAGTCATTATGTTTCTGTAAGCTGATATTACATTTTTTCATTAGAAATTATTTAATATGAATATAAAGTGAATCCTAGGTATAACTTTTATTCACATTATATCTAGAAAAATAACAATGGGTAGAAGTGACTTTATATGTCTGTATGAATTCATAAAGTTGACAACTTGAAATAAAAATCATATTTTATTTAAAAATGTAATCAACATGCAACTATTTTCAAGTTAGGTAATTTTAGAGATTCTTTGGGTAATTGAAAGTTTGTATGCGTCACTTTTGAGCTAAGTATATGAGAAATAGAAATGAAGATTATTTTTTATCAAATTAACAACAGTTACATATATCCAAATCTAAAACTAATTATGAAGCTAGGGAATTTTTGTATTTTCATTTCTTTAGAAATCTCTAAAAAATCAAAGAGAAAGTTAAGGAAACGATGAGTTTATAGTTTATACAAATAATTCTTGTCTATAGTTTTAACGACATCTTTTCATTTGTTTTAGGTACTAACATTTTTGGTTTTGATATGGAGCGTTTCTGTAAGGACGGAACCACCAGTGAATTCGTATTTGCCACCTAGTAATGGTGGTTATAGTAAGTGAAAAGTTTATCAACTACATCACATAGGGTGTCTTTTAAGTTGTTTTTTTCCTTTTAATATAAAATTGATCTCAACAAAGAAAACAAGTCTTTCAAGTAACATTTTTGCGAAATTTCAAATATAATGAAAACAAAAAACTATTTCTTTATTTAGATCTCACGTCCAGATCTGCCTATGGATATTTAAAATTGTCCAAATTGGACCCATTCATGCAAGCTATCGCTCAACGTATAATCAATACGTTTTCCTCGAATTAATTTTACTACATTTTGTATAGCTTCGTGTCTATCTCTGTGTCTCTATAGCCTCGTGTATATCTAAAATCTAAGGCAAAAAAGGTAAAAATATTAATACAACTTTCATCTTTTAATAAAACATTTTAATATTAATAAAATTCTCTACATGTACCTACCCTATATAAATATAACTGCAACATTTCTGCTATACCTAGTGAAGGAGAATAGTCGAATATAATAGTCGGAGAATAGTAGAGAAGAAGAATAGTCGTCAAATTGTTGATTTTATAAACTTAGTTTTATCCAACTAGAAACGTCATACATATCACGATATCACTATAATCACTGTAACACATGGCAAGTCAACTTTTAGAATGTTTTTTCTGTTTCCGTGCCCAAACCTTTTACTCAAGGGGAACTGTCACATTTTATATACTTTCAGTTCACTTTGATTGAGTTTTGAGTACCAGAACAGAAAGACTTTATATTGTGTTTATAGTAGAAGACTCTTTAAGTTTTACTCGAAAATCAGACTTTTTTCGAAAAACATAAGACAGTAGCAATTTGTAGAAAATTGAAAGACGAATCCGAAAATATCATGATTGTTACCCTAAAGCAGTGGCGTACTATTTTATTTAGAAAAATATGCCACAGAGACCCTGTATCTCCGCCACTGGAACATGTAAATTTCAGGAAAAGCCCTTAGATTTTGGACAATATTTACATAAATACATGTGCCCAATTTCAAATTATTTCACTTAATAGTTTTTAAATTATTTAAAAAAATAAAAAATATTTTTTTAAGTTTAACACCCTGTATCTTTTTAACAAAGCGGCCTAGTTTCTTCAATGTGGAATATTTCCGGTTAGACAAGATTAAGTTTACAAAATCAAGGTAGGATGAATAATAGGGAAAGACAATACTCAAAAATGCAACAGAAAAACAGTTATTAATGACATTTTTTTATAGATGGTGGACCACCCAGTTCAGTCTATGGTCCACCGGGCTATCAGCCTGGTCCTGCGATAGGCAATGGAAATGGTAATGGCGTAAATGGTAATGGAAATGGAAACGGTAATGGCGGTAATGGCAATGGTAATGGCGGTAATGGAAATGGCAATGGTAATGGCGGTAATGGCAATGGTAATGGTCATGGCAATGGCAATGGCAATGGCGGAGCTCCCAGCCTTGTTTACGGAGCTCCAAATGGTAAATACAAAAATTGTTTAAGTATAGTATACGAGTCTTATAGTACAGTAGTTATAATTTAGTTTCTTTGCCAACAAGGACTGAAAAAAGATTGCGATTTAAATAAAAACTCTGAACAGCCTAAAATTCATCAAATAGATATACCAAACCAAATAAATCGAGACTAAGATTTATTGTATAGCAGAAATGGGCTCTATCATACTTATTTGCATGCTTTTGAAATAATAGCTACACTTTTTATAAAAAAAATTAACCTATTTTGAATCTACAACAATGAAACAGGAAATTTTCCGTTTTATTTTTTTTCTGATAATACATCACTTTATAGGCAATGGTTATCAAGTAGACAGTGACCAAAGACCGGGTACTAGTTATCTTCCACCCAATGGTAATGGCAATGGAAAACCAGGCCCCGTTTATGGTGCGCCAAGCAATGGTAACGGTAACGGTGGTAGAAATGGAAACGGTAACGGTGGTAGAAACGGAAACGGTAACGGCGGTAGAAATGGAAACGGTAACGGCGGAAATGGAAATGGTAACGGCCACGGAAATGGAAATGGCAATGGAAATGGTAATGGAAATGGTAATGGAAATGGTAATGGCAATGGTAGACCTAGTTCTGTTTATGGACCTCCAAATGGTAATCAAGAAACCTTACTTTAAAAATTAAATTGCATTTCATACTTCTAAACATTCTGTTCTATTCTTCCTTTGATGTGTGCGTAAACCACCTAATTCGTGATTATGTTTTTCATTTCTTGTATTCCATATTTCATATTTTCTTCTATAGTCATGTCTCTTAATTTTTTACTCTTCACATTATTCCATTTTGTTCTTTTCTACCTATTCCATCTGAACCAAAGTTACATTAAACTTTTTGTTTTTAAATATATTTCTGCAATTTGACTCAAAATTACTACATCAAAAGAAAAAAGAATGTATTCGTGGATAAATTTCAACTGTACCAAATAAGTAAGCCTATTCACTTAAAGCAAATTCGAAAAATCATATAAAAATGTATATTAGTCGACGCCACAAAGCATAAGCTTCAAAGTTATTAATTTTGACGAGTGACACTTTAATGTTTTAAGGTAATGGAAATGGTAGACCTGGTCCAGTATATGGTCCTCCCACCAACGGTAACGGTAATATCATTTTGTAGTACATATTTCTGCAAGAACATACAGTGAGGTTTTTTAGACTACTAATTTCCTTTGCATGAATTATTATGAATGGATTTGTTTCAGATCATTTTAGTTTATATTAGTTGGTTTAATTGTATATGTATTTTCTTTTATTTGATTTCACTTGAATGATGATACGAAATGAAATTAAATGGTAATGGTAATAATTTACATTTACGGTATTAATTTAATATTTCTATAAGAAAATGTGATTTTACTATATTTCTAACATTCTTTGTACGAACTATGTTTGCATCTGTTTCACATCCAGTTGGTTTTTATTTAATTCTTATGGAAAATAAGACAAAATCTTACTAAAAACAACATTAGTCACATATAGACGATTACAGCTAGAGAATTATAATTTTTAACTATTCTGACTTATCATCATCATAATACCGGCAATACGAAATTACAGTAAAAAAAATGAACATCTGTCTTGGTCGTAAATCATTACTTATCTAAAGTCTTAACAGGAAATGGACGTCCAAGTCCAAAATATGGAGTACCAAATGGTAACGGCAATGGAAAACCGAATTCAGTGTATGGTCCACCAAGAAATGGAAATGGCTTCGCAAATGGTAATGGCAATGGTAACGGTAATGGCAACGGTAATGGCAACGGCCATGGCAACGGCCATGGCAACGGCCATGGCAACGGCAACGGTAACGGCAACGGTAACGGCAATGGTAACGGTAACGGTAATGGTAATGGGGGACCGGGTGCTGCTTACTTACCCCCATCTAATGGCAATGGAAATGGAGGATACCAGTACAATGGAAACGGTGGACAAAACGGGGAGAGTACGGTATGTTTCTTGTAAATCTTAACATATCCGTGTAATTTTTCATTATTTTTATACATATCCAACAGATATAGTGACCAACTGCATATGACAAAGGCAACACATCAGCAAATTTACATATTTACATAACCAACTTACCGTAAATAATTAAATTCTAATTAAATAAATAACAAAAAAAAATCTCAGATTTTGAGGCAATGAAGTAATGACAATGGCACCAAATAGTAGACCAACACTATTTACGAATATATAAACACTAATAGGTATTGTACCATATCTTTAACAAACATATAGGAATAGAGGCTCCAGTATCGAGCCTTGTGGCACTTAAATTATTTCAAACATTTCAGATTATTTATGGTACGTGTTCTAGTTCCTATTATTTAATGCTTTATGGTTTCGTTTTCGAAATAAGAAGAGATAAAGATAAATTACAAGAAAACTAAAGCATAACATGTGTAGGGAAAAAAATTGCAGCTATTCTACCATTTTTTTTTTCTGAAGAACAAAAAACTGTTTGAGTTTCTTATCTTTACTTGTTACAACTCTACAGTTATTAATCTATATTTAACAAAATTAAAGGACGCAATTTAAAAAATTCAGTATTTTAATGCAATATAGACGTATTTTTTTTATTATAAACTAAATTATGATTTTATTGAAAACAGTTATATTCAAATGATTTCGAGTTTACTTTTCATGTTTGTTAACATATAACAACTTACTGACACATCAGTGACCACACTATTTAAACTTTGATAAATTTCATCAACTGTGACAAACAAGTAGGTACTAATTTCCATGGTGAATATGCAATAACCAGCATTCCAAAGTGGAATATTTTCTGAAGGGTATATCGATAACGTTGTTTTCCTCTTCATCACTTTTTCGCTTGTTTGAAATTCAGAATTCGTTATAGTAATCACCAAAAGTGACTGTCGTTAACTAGCTTTTAACAGTTTGTACTGTATTTTTCAGGAACCCGCTAAATACGAGTTTGAATACGAAGTAAGCGATCCAGAGAGTGGTGTTCAATTCGGCCACAAAGAACAGCGAGATGGAGACTTTACCACAGGCGAGTACAATGTTCTTCTTTCAGACGGTAGGACGCAGATAGTGGAATACGAGGCAGATACAGATGGATATAAACCAACGATCACTTATGAAGGTATCCCCCTCAACTCGCATATTAATTTAAACTCTGCTTAATTTTTTCGCTATGTAGATATACTTTTACGTCATTTAGTTAAGATTAAGTGTACAATATGGGTAGTGTGAGAATAAGAAAGTAACCTGAACGTGGTGCTTTTACTCCTTTAAGAATCATAAATGCACAGTACACTGTTCATGTGAGTTCTCGTAACATATAAGAAAGCGAGCGTGTGGTTTTGTATATTATAAGATCTGTAGGAGACACATATGGTGTTAAAAAGTACATACACCATAAAATGATTTCGACCAAAAATAACTACGAAATCATAGGCTTTTATTTTTGTTTGTCATGCGAGCTCACGTCAACAAAGAAGCAATGTCAACAATTATTCGTGCTTTAATATGTTTTTTTTATGTTTACTTGATCACAAAAAAAAAACGTTAAGGTTACTTTTTGAATCTACCTCGTATATTTTAATAGCTCCGTGCTATTAGAGATGGAATTTGTGCAGAAAAAAAATTTACGCGTTGAAATGGCCTACAAGCTACGATAATTGCACTGTTTTTATTCATTTTATTTAACGTATTAGGAGACAGTTACTTTAGTATGATTACTCAATATATAATTATGCACATAAACGCTGAATATTGGAAATATCCAGAGAACCAGAGAACCTAGATTCATGTCAGGGTAAAAAATAATTGTTATACCTATTAATTGTTTAAATATTTGGGGTTAAGTTAAAAGTTGTTCAATATTACGACAATAAAATCTGTAAAACATTGAAAGCTATAAAGCAAAGTCTATTTAACTCACTAGTGATTTGTGACATTATTTACATTTGCATTATGACGATACATAAATGCACCAATTTTTTGTCAATAATTATAATAAATTCCATTATCATCAGCAAAACATTACAAAGAATGTATTAGATCTTACATTCACACACCATATTTGAAACTGGAATTGTATAATGTAACAGTGCTGTTTATCAGCGGGACAGAATATAATTGCTGATGATAAACAAACCAACTGGAGCATCTTTATATAAATTAGAACACATCTTGTAATTGAAAATATTTCAATGCTCTACTCATTTATAATAATAATCGTAGTAGATTAATAAGTATACTGCACCTCCCAACTAATGGTCATTGCAATTGTTTCATTTCATTTGTGTGACGTAGCTATATTATTAATAAGCAGAGATTTGTTTTTTTTTTATTATCGCTTTTGCTTGAATTCGAGTTAACCGACAAAATTATTACTATTTCTGCAAATTGTTTATTTTTAAAAATAATTATTCTCTACTTAAATACAGAAATATATCACTTAAAATATAGTAATCAAGAACAAAATAATAAATGTTTCGCCTTCTTATGAAAACCAACGAAAAAATTCCAAATATTTGTCAGAAATAAATATATATTGGAATGTAAAGGATTAATATTTGATTATCCCATAAAGGATCAGATTGTTTCTTCAAAAGAAGGAATATACTCTAATTTCTCAATCGTCTTTTTGCTGTCTTGTATAAGTGTAACAATTTTTAAACAACAGGTACGTTTTCATAACTTATCTTAACTCGTATTATTTCTTTAATATTTTGCCACACTTTCCGAAATAATACCCTCATAGTCACATTTCACTCGAACCAAGTGATGGTATAGTACATACTTATTCTCTTTCTTATATTCATGGTCTTTTATTGGCAAAAACTCTGGATATTGAGACAAATACAATTACACGATATTTCCAGGTGGTAATGGAAACGGAAATGGAAATGGAAACGGCGGATACCCCAGAGGACCAAATGGCAATGGATATAACGGGTACAATGGCAATGGCAATGGTGGTCACAATGGCAATGGAAACGGTGGTAACGGCAATGGTGGAAATGGCAATGGTAATGGAAATGGAAACGGAAACGGCGGTTATCCAGGGAGTAACGGCAATGGAGGCCCCTACTGAATGCCAGATGTTTAATCTTTTCTCTGATACCTTACTGAAGCTGATCGAAATTATAAGAATATGTGAAACTGCGTCTAACTAAGAAGTACATTTTCATTTTTCTTCTTGTAAATTTAGTCACTCTTTCTGCAGATACTTCTTCAATCTTTAGCTTACTTCATTATTATAATATTAAGATTGCACCGTCAAAATACAATTTTCTTATATAATACCTCCATTTGTGCAGCATCTTGTATCTCATATAGCTCAAAATGTCAATGATATGTATATACTTCATCAACATAGTATTATTAATTCTAGTATTTTTTATATATAGTTATGTACTGTTATTACTTTTAAGGCAATGCATTAGGTATAACTAGATATAAGGCATTTATCTAAGTGTTGACGACTGCTTTGTTTAAAGGAACAGATTTGGACTGCCACTATAAAAATAACAAAATATGTATCTCAAACATGTATATAATTAAATGTATTTTATGAAATAAATAAACGTATTTATTTTAATAGAACTGCTTTATTATTTCTTTTGCATTAAATATACAAATGAAGATAGCTCTTTGATGTTTTAGGTGGAAAAGAAACGTACAAACAATAGAAATGAGTGAAATCTACAGGGTGCTAAAAAAGAGTGTAAAATATATTAGGAAGTAATAGTATGAACCAAAATAAGCAGAAAAGTCTTAATAATCATGGGTCCGCAAAGTAACGGTTGCGGAGATATGGACCACTATTCGTTTTTCAAACATTTTATTTTATTAGGAATAAACCGACAAAGAAAGCTTTTAACAAACAAAAAACAAAGTTACAGAAGATGTTCAAAGTGCCCTCCGTCCACTTCCAAGCAGGCACGACATCTTCGTCTCAACGATATTCGAACTCTTTCGAAAACACCCTCCTTGGTTTGGATTTCTTGACACTTTTGATTAATCCGTAGCTGCAGCTCTTCCAGGCTATTTACAGGAGTACCATACACTAATGTCTTCAAATATCCCCAAACAAAGAAATCTAGAGGGTTCAGATCAGGCGATCTTGGAGGCCATAAAACAGGTCCGGCCCTTCGTACCCATCTATGTGGTAAAGTTTGGTGTAAATTATCTCTAAGGGCCATGGAAAAATGAACTGGAGCACCATTATGCTGGAACCACATTTATTGCCTCTGATTCAAAGGAATGTCTTCCAAAAACTCATACAGTGTGTCTGCAGAAAGTTGAGGTAAGCAGCGCCTGTTAATCGGTTTGGTAAAACAATAGGACCTAGAAACCTGTCACCTACAATACCCATCCAAATTGTTTAATGAAAAACGTGCCTGATGTCCAGATTCTATTAGAGCATGAGGATTTTCGTCGGCCCAAATATGTGTATTGTGAAAATTAAACACTATTTCTTGTGAACCCGGCCTCATCAGTAAAAAGAATGTTTGCAAGAAAACGAGGGTCTTCAGCATCATGACGTAGAAACCAGCGGCAAAAAACCAAACGTGCTTGATGATCATTTATTGGATTTAAGGCCTGTACTCTTTGCACATGGTATGGATAAAGCAGTTGCTCGTGAAGGATTCTCCAAACAAGAGGACCACTAATTCCTACCTCGGCTGATATTCTCCGCACACTCGTATCTGGATTCTGCTCTACCAGTGCTAGAATTTCTTCTTCTGCTCTAGGAGTGGATACCGACCTTGGTCTTCCGGATAAATGGCACTGTTTGCTCAAGGAACCGGTATCACGCAATTTTTGGTGAATTCTTCCAAACATGCGTTGTGAAGGAATCTGGCGATTTGGATAAGCGTTAAATAAAGACGTCGCGCTTCAGTGGCGTTCCCATTAGCACGACCATACATGAAATGCATGTCTGTTAATTCTGTGTTAGAGTAACCAGCCATAGCGAAAGAAAACTTGTGCACTGAGAACAACTGTCAAATACGTACTGTTTATTTCACTAAACATCAACCAACTATTATAAGAAAATACACAACGTTTTTGCAAACTAAAAAAAGGGGCTAAAAAACATAAAACAATCCATATCTCCGCAACCGTTACTTTGCGGACCCATGTTTATTGAGACTTTTCTGCTTATTTTGGTTCATTGGCTATTACCTCTTAAATATTTTACACTCTTTTTTAACACCCTGTATAGTTACAAGTAAAATAAATTCAGAAATATGTGAAAATGAAAGCGACAAAAATAGGAATAGTCAGGACAACATGAATCTGAACAGAATAGAGGAATTCCGACAAGTGAAAAAGTTTAAGAACCGAGAAGTGATGATTAACCTAAACCAAAGGGAATATTAAATGAATAAGAAAAGAAAAGAAATGGCAAATAGGATTAAAAAGCATGGAAAAAGCTTTTTTGTTAAAAAATGGAAATATCGAAGCGCAGAAAAGTATATATGTATGTCAGTTATTATTCTTCCGCGGGTGTTGTATGTGATTGTTTGACGACGTTTCGGTAAAATCTCATTTACTATCTTCTAGTCTTGTTACTTCTGCTTCGCGTTGCTAATATAAGCCAAACATAGATCTCAAAAACGGTTGCACATATTTGTACAAATATTTTAAATCAGCAAAAGAGATACAAATAACGACTTTTGTCATTTTTGATAAAATTAAATTTTAATTTGACAGTAACGTTCTATTTTTCAACTTTATAACGCTGTAACTTTATGAAAAATAAATCTTTTGAAAACAATAAATAAACAACAGCTTGTATCTTATCAGTTGGCTATAAAAAAAAATTAAAAATATGTATGCAACCCTAATTTAATTTCATATATCACAAATTTATGAAAGTTTTCTTTGTGGGCCTAGAAATCCACTAAAGAATATCGGTCCAGCCTCTACTGAAACAAAAGCCTTTAAAGACAAGGTGAAAAAAAAAACATAAAAGCAGAATTAAAACCACTTCTACATCTCAATGTTTTTTTATTTTTCTATGGTCGGCTAGAAGTTTTACATAAAACAATCTGTATTACCAACTAGTAAGTAGCTTTGAAAAACTGATAATTACTAGCTTTTCTAAAGACTGGTACATTATCTGTAAAATTAAACCAGAACATTTTTTAATACAGCGTTTCTTCTCTTCCTCCAGCACTATTTAAAAGCTTTGAGTACATTCCCTAAGACAGATAATAAGCGACTATATTTGTTACGTAACCATAAAATTGAAGGAACGGCGTTACTGAATGTTTTGGATACAAACACCAGTTAATTGTAGGAAGAAGTAATACGTCTTGTATACCATATTCATTCAAAGGTGCCATACTGATTTCACTAATTTATATACACCTACAGTTCTGTACATCAAATCTACAAATAAAATGTTTATATTTCGACTGTTTATCGGAACGTATATCTATGTATCTACGGTATATCTATAGTTAGCGGGATGTCTACAGGGGATAAAATAAAGAAAGGAAAAAATGTTGAAAGGAATACCTTGTTTTTTAAATAAGGCCCCTGTGTAGAATTTTAAGTTTATACTACAAGGTGTTCAAGAAATTAAAAATTNCGTTCTATTTTTCAACTTTATAACGCTGTAACTTTATGAAAAATAAATCTTTTGAAAACAATAAATAAACAACAGCTTGTATCTTATCAGTTGGCTATAAAAAAAAATTAAAAATATGTATGCAACCCTAATTTAATTTCATATATCACAAATTTATGAAAGTTTTCTTTGTGGGCCTAGAAATCCACTAAAGAATATCGGTCCAGCCTCTACTGAAACAAAAGCCTTTAAAGACAACGTGAAAAAAAAAAACATAAAAGTAGAATTAAAACCAAGTAGGTAATTCCTAAAAAGTTTTAAAAATATAACAAAACATTGTTGGAAAGGTAATGAAAAAAAAATTAATTTCGTACAAATATACAGTATTTTTTATAAGAAATAACAAAGTTTAGTGACATTTCTTCTAAAATATGAAATTAAGAAAACACTGTATAATTTTTTCTTTATTGAATGATTCATCATATATTTATGCAAATATCAGAGAAGTATTTACTGTAATAATGTTAGTAATTCGTATATTTAAACAACCAATTTTTATATAGTTAATTAATCACTCAACACGTTAGAAATAAAACTGGATAAATTATTCGATTACATTTTTTTAACATAATAGATAAGAATAAAATCTTGTTACTTACTAACGAACTTATAATAACAATAATTTATCGAAGTCAGAACATAAGACAAATGTTTACACATGTCACAAAAGAAATGTGACACCAAAAGTATCAGTAACTAAAAATAAGTCAAAGCTATAGCATAAATCATTAAAAAAATATATTAAAAATAAATACTATAGATACAAAAAGAAGCACTATTACAAAGTGCATAAAGAAATATATCACACACTAATTACATAGTAAGTATTCTTAGGGGACTAACAAGAGCAACAAATGAGTAAAAAGCTTTCATTTTAAGAAAGTTCCTCATTCTCATTTTATAATGAGTATTACACAAGGACCCAATTGCTTAAGGCAGCATATTAAAAAAGCGCATGCAATAGTAATTAGAACCGACTCTAGTTCTGCTTAGTCTAAGAGGAACAAGATTTATATTGTACCTGTTTCTAGTAGGATAATCATGGTTCATACAATGTTGACGAAAGATATGGATAATTTCCTCAATGTACAAGAGACATTCCAATATATAGACACTTGGTAGTGTAAGTATGCCACATTTCTTAAATTGTTGCTTACAGTCCGCTCTATATAAAAATATCACCAAGGCAAGAATGACCCAGTTCAAAATAGCATAGCACAGATGTGAGTGAAAAAACCATAATAGGCTGACAGCAATGTTTTTATCGAAACAGAATTAACAAGGCTTCTGATCAGGAACATCTTTTTGGATAACTCATCAATATGCTGCTTCCAAAGACATTTGGCAATCAATGTTGACTCCGAAAAATTTCACTTGCGAGACGCAATTGGTGAATTCATCATGCACATAACGCAAAGCAAACAAAATAGACTGAGTTTTGTCTTGATAGAGATACATGTTATTTGCTAAAAATCACTGTTTAACATTATCCTGTGTTGTTTGAACATTCTTACGAAGGAAACTGGCCTGATCTGCACTGTTTAGAATCGTCCACATAGAGGATAAACTTGGAAATGCTATCACTATTTGGTGAATCGTTTATATAAATGAGAAACAGTACAGGCCCAAGGACAGATCCTTGTGGGACTTCGGGATTCATGGTTAAGCATGAAGAAAGAAGCAAAGAGACAAACTGAGATATGTCACTAAGGTATGATTTAATAAGGGAGATACTATTTGGGTCAAAGTTATAGCGCGAAAGTTTATGTATTAAAATGTAGCTCACACTGTCAAAATCCTTAGTAAGGTAATATAAAGTACCATTAGTAATGTCTCTGTTCTCAAACTGTACTACGTACATAGTTTTGAAATTTCGTCTATGAAATTATTAATGATACAGGCAATTTATTGTACAGATTTAGATCTGCACTTAATATATAACAAGCAATTTATTTTGTAACAATTTCATAATAGTAGAGGTCTTGTAACTGATTCCTCTCGCATCCTTATAATTTTATTTCCTATTGTAAATCAAGCTGTATCCATTTCTGTTTGAAAATAAACGAGTGCAATTTATATATGTATTTATAGTACTATAACACGAAAGCTATGCTGTCAACGTGTCTACACAGATAATAATTAAATGGAAGGAGATGTGTGGAATTAACAGAAACAAAGGTCACAACAATACCTACCTTATCACGTCATTAACTATAATTTTTCTCATCACTCCAAATATGTATTTCATGAGTTGAGGCTGAGAAAGTCATATCAGTACTTACAAGGGTACAGGGTGTTCCGAAATTTTCCCACATCTTTGATTTCTTCGCTTAGCCGTTAGAGGGTGTTGAAATTGAGAAAAAAATTCTCTCAAAATAAGTCTTAACACTTTGTCCAATTGAAATTAAATTAGGTACTTATATATAAAAGTCACTTCTCGAAACTCTTAACCAAATTTGCTCACTTTTTTTGCGGGTGATCTTATAATAACAACAAATGTTCTTATTTAGCCGTAAGGCAAGAACTCATCGAAACATTTTCAATATAAATCTTATTTATTATCAATTATTTAATTTATTTGATAACCATTTAGCCTTTGCGAAACCTGCAAAAAGCACAGAAAGAAATATTCCAATTCCCAATATATTATTTCCATATCCACCATCTGCTGCATCTAAAATAAACTATCTTTAAGAAATTCAAATATTTTTGTAGAATTCTGGAAACATTTAAATTATTTAAAATGTTTTTTTTATTAAAACATATTACCTCCAAGTCCTTTTCCTCCTCCTCCTACTCCACCTGTTCCCTCACCACCTGAGTGTAATTTTTATTCATTAACTTCTTGTAATAAGGATAGTATTCATGTGTTTACTTTGCATAAAGCGGATCTTGTACTTTTGTTTTCAACAGACTCATGTTGATGTGAAGCTTTGTTTTTGTCAAAAAATCATGAATCAAAATAGTATGAGTAGTGACTTACCTCCTTGCCATAATCCTACGCCTTGTCCAAATCCTGTACCACCACCAAAACCTCCTCCAACACCACCTAAAATAAACTATTTCGTTTTAGAAAATATTTAATATACAGAGTGTCAATCTTATAACTTAAATAAAAAAATCGAACCAATTTTAAATTTATAAACTGTATTTTTTAAAATATTGTGATATATACATACAAAATGTAAGAGGCAAGAGAAAAAATGATGCGTTTGGTTTTCTTTGTTTATTCATTACCAGAATAATTAGCCATGAATGTTTCTTGCACCGTCGTTATTATATATTGTATACCACAATATAATATTTCTTATGGCGAGTATTGATGTGTTTACTTTGCATAAAGCGGATTTTGTACTTTTGTTTTTAACAGATTCATGTTGATGTGAAGCTTTGTTTTTGTCAAAAAAATCATAAATCAAAATAGTACGAGTAGTGACTTACCTCCTTGCCATAATCCTACGCCTTGTCCAAATCCTGTACCACCGCCAAAACCTCCTCCAACACCACCTAAAATAAACTATTTCGTTTTAGAAAATATTTAATATACAGAGTGTCAATCTTATAACTTAAATAAAAAAATCGAACCGATTTTAAATTTATAAACTGTATTTTTTTAAATATTGTGATGTATACATACAAAATGTAAGAGGCAAGAGAAAAAATGATGCGTTTGGTTTTCTTTGTTTACTCATTACCAGAATAGTTAGCCATGAATGTTTCTTGCACCGTCGTTATTATATATTGTATACCACAATATAGTATTTCTTATGGCGAGTTTTGAAGCAGTGATATCGAGTTCTGCAGTCGATACGGAATTTAATAAAGTATAGTTATTTTAGAATTTACTTTAAAAAAAACACACCACACCACAGAAATGAGACAATCCCCAAATCCAAAGCCAAAGGCTGTGCGGAAGGGGGCTACACTTGAAAAAACGGGGACTAACACCCATCATCCATCCACATTGCCAGTGACGACACCGGGGATCGAACCCAGACCAGAATAGGAAGCCTGGCCGAGAAATGCTTGCCACCGCACTCTCGACCGACTGCGCTACCGTGGCGATCCAAATAAATATAATATTAATTACCTCCGGATCCTCTTCCCCCTCTAACACCTCCACCTGAGCCTAATCCAACACCAAATCCTCCACCTGAAAATAATACGTTTTATCTAAATAGTCTCAATCTATTTACTTTCAATTTCTACTTTTAAAATTATCATTTGATTATATGAAAGGATATTTGTCAATTGTACTTTAAAAATATATATCTTTTTCACCATTCTAACTGTATATATTCATAATATTCTTTTTATTGCAATTTACCATTTTGGTACCAAACTGACACTTGAACTGTAAATATTTAGGTATACAGAAATGTAAACATATGTAATAGTTCTGCGAAATCGGAATATGCAGTCAGAAAGATAAACTGAATTTTTAAGTACATATGTATATGCTTATAGTATGGTCCGTAATTATGTTTCAGTAATAAAATGGGCGATTCATCAATTAAATCATTAAATTTAACAAGGCCCAGAACAATCTAAAATTAATTTGTTTACAACATGTTTATTTTAAATCATCGTTATTTACTATGTTAGAAACATTATACTACATCCGAATTTCAGGGTATAATATCGATTTCGAGACACACTTATGAAATATCGTAGTATTACAAAGAGCCGTTTTAGCAAAAATTTATGCTTTTTTTTGTTTACTCATTACCAGAATACCATGAATATTTCTTGCAGCTTTGTTATTGCATATTGTTTGTATACCTCAATATTTTTAACTCCTGACCTCCTTACTAGTTTCATTCTTTCTTGTTTTGAAACAGTGATATCGTGTTCGGCAGTCCATACAGTATTTAATAAATTATAGTTGTTTTAGAATTTTTTTAGAATTTTCTTTTTAATATCATGTTTATTACCTCCTTGTCCTCTTCCCCTTCCACCACCACCACCTGAGCTTATTCCAACAACAAATCTTCCACCCGTGGCTTCACCACCTGCAAGGAAATACATTTAACCTAAACAGTCTCAACCTATTTACTTTCAATTTGTACTTTTAAAATTATCGTTTGGTTATATGAAAGGATATTTGTCAACGGTACTTTAAAAATATCTATCTTTTTCACCACTCTAACTATATACAGGGTGTCCCACCACGAACTCCACCGATGGATATCTGGGAAACCGATTAAAGGATTTTTTTGAAACTATGATGGTGTGATACGGACCATGAGATCTACCAAGTTAAAATATTTTCAAGATCATCGTACTTCCGGTTATACCGGAAGTTGATACTAACTTTCTTATTTTAAATGGAACCCCCTGAATATTATTGCATTTTTTGGAAAGAACATCTATTTTTAAGTTGAAAACATATTGCACACTCCCCATACTTAGGATTGACCGTTTCCGAGATATTTAGATTTTTAAGCAAAAATTGGCAGATGCAGACTGTCGACAAAATTTAGTTTTCCCGGAAATATACACCGTGTCCACCTAGTGCGCGTAAGTCCAATATCTAGGTTAATAAAAGATATAACTTAATTTTTTTTCTACAGAATTGCCTACTTTCCCGAGCTGCACAAAATGAAAATATTTTTGCATATACAGGGTGTTCAGTTTTTCCTGGGCAGGGACCAACTTAATTTTTTTAATGGAAACCTATATTTTTTATGGCATTATCGAATTGTACGTGAAAAATTAACGGGACTTATGATCCCTATTAAAATATTGATAGTTTTCGAGATAATCGACTATTCATTTGTTTTTCTTGTTTCGTCACTTCTTGTAGTTGACATAATTATGATTGTATGACAACTAGAAATTATTTTTTTTTCAGGAACTGTAGAGTGGAGATGGCTCTTTCAAAAAACGTATCAAAAGTTGACCTGCGATATACAGGGGGCAAAAAAAATCGTGCCAAACCTGATAATTTAAAATTTGAAAAATCTCGACTTTTTCAAATAGAACACCCTGTGTTTTATGATTTCATTAGATACCTTTCTGTAGACCCTACAATTTTTTAATAGCTTTTCCTATACCTAAGTTGCGTAGTTTTTGCAAAAAAAAACATTTTTATGTGAAATACCGGATTTGCGTCCGTTCCTTTGTCGGGAAAAATATTGTAAGGGTATTTGTTTTTATTAAATTTATTAGTTGTCTAGCTACACTATTTAAAATAAAAATTAATAACTGAAAAATTGAGATATTTGAGTTTAATAAATAAGTCTTCAATGGAAAGTTACCATTTATTTGTCAATAAAATCAAAAAACCATAAAATCGCTACAAGTGATTAAGAATTAGTAAAATATGGGAAATATTTGCTAGCAGCACGTATTTACAAAGCAAATAATCCAAATTTACAGAGATTCCCACTGTATTGAAATTGTGAATGAAAGGTTTGAATGAACAGCAAATGCGAATTATGAGAAAACTACCAGGAGACATGAAAGTAACGACGATAATATTTAGTTTAAAGTTGTGCGTCTGCTCCAAATCCAAATATTAGAGCCAGGAAATTAGTAGTAACCTTGGAGTTTTCAAATATCGAAGGAAGGAACGGGCGCAAATCCGGTATTTTACATAAAAATGTTTTTTTTTTGCTAAAACTACGCAACTTGTATGTGTATGTTTCTTTTTTGTGCAAGTTGGACATTTGGTAGAGGAAGATCTAATTTATCGAATTTGACATGAAAATTTTCCAGTTTTTATACAGGGTGGTCAAAAAATTTTATCGAATATGAAATTCAGAAAATGTCTACCTACCTAAACCCAGTAGTTTTATTTTATTTACGAATAAACATTTCCCTTTTCTTAAAATGATGTTTCCATCTGTTTCGCACATTTTAGGTTGGCTGTGAGAGGTAAGGAACAATTAACATGACACCTGCCACAGGTTTTTAATTGTCAAATTTATTTAGTTCCTTGTGGGTCGGTGCTCTAATAGAATCCGGTGATATATGCTATTTTATTTGGGACACTAAAAAATAGTGTGTATACTACTCCAGTAACAACAAAGGAAAATTGTATGCATGGAGTAAGGCAAGCATACGAACATCTACCACTGGATTCTATTAGAGCAGCGACCCACAACGAACTAATCGGAAGATGTGAAAAATGTTTAGAAATTGAGAGGAAGACATTTTTAACATTTATTAAAATAAATGATTACCAGTACCAGACATCGTGAAACTTCATTCCAAGTTCCTAAACCTAGAACTGCAAAATTTACAAAATCCTACTATTACCTCGGACCTAAAATGTATAATCTATTGCCAGAAGATATTAAATCTTGTAAATCATATACATCTTTTAAAAAGCGTCTAAAAATATTCTTGGGCGAAAAGACTAAACAAGTTATCTCAAATTTATCACATAACATGCAATAAATTTTAAAATCATACTTAAAAATATTATCCCCTTGATTTTCCTCATTTCTTTCCTTCTTTTTTTTTTCCGGAAAAAGAAGGAAAAACCTGTTCTGTTGTTTACTTAATTACGTATTTGGGTATTTGATATAAATGTTAAATTGCTATTTGTGTAGTGTATATATACATGTATGTGTATTTTGCACTAATTGTAAAATCTTAGTTGTTAGACCACGCTCAAGGTTCGCTTTATGTGGAAATTATTTATTTGCTTGTAAATATACATATTGTACACATTGTAAGTATGTTCATGGTAATGGTAAATTTGACAATTAAAAACCTGTGACAGTTGTCATGTTGATTATTACTTACCTATCACGGCCAACCTAAAATGTGCGAAACAAATGGAAACATCATTTTAAGAAAAGAAAAATTTTGAGTTCTCCACATTTTCTGAACTTCATATTCGATAATTTTTTTTGACCACCCTGTATAAAAACTGGAAAATTTTCATGTCAAATTCGATAAATTAGGGCTTCCTCTACAAAATTTCCAATTTGCACAAAAAAAATAGACCTATGTTTCCGGGAAAACTAAATTTTGCTAACAGTCTGCATCTGTCAATTTTAGCTTAAAAATTAAAATATCTCGGAAACAGTCAATCCTAAGTGTGCTATATGTTTTCAACTTGAAGATAGATGTTCTTCCCAAAAATGCAATAATATATAAAGGGTTCCATTTAAAATAAGAAAGTTAATATCGACTTACGGTATAACCGGAAGTACAATGACCTTGAAAATATTTTAGCTTGGTAGGCCCCACGGTCCATATAACACCATCACAATTTCAAAAAAATCCTTCGAGCGGTTTAGCAGATATCCATCGATGGAATTCGTGGTGGGACACCCTGTATATTCATAAAATTCGTTTTATTGAAATTTACTGTTTTGATAATAAACTGATACTTGATACTATAAATATTTGTACACAAATATGTGAAAGTTCTGCGAAATCGGAATATGCAGTCAGAAAGGTAAACTGAATTTTTAAGTATATATGTATATGTTTATGGTATGGTCTTTAAGTATGTTCCCGTAATATGTATAATGGGCCGTTCCTCAATTAACTCATTTTTTTTTTAATTTCAAAGGTCAAGAACAATCTAAAATTAATTTGTTTACAATATGTTTATTTCAAATCATCGTTATTTACTATGTTAGGAACATTATACTATATCCGAATTTACTTATTTCAGGGTATAATANTTTTAACTCCTGACCTCCTTACTAGTTTCATTCTTTCTTGTTTTGAAACAGTGATATCGTGTTCGGCAGTCCATACAGTATTTAATAAATTATAGTTATTTTAGAATTTCCTTTTTAATATCATGTTTATTACCTCCTTGTCCTCTTCCCCTTCCACCACCACCACTTGAGCTTATTCCAACAACAAATCTTCCACCCGTGCCTTCACCACCTGAAAGGAAATACATTTTACCTAAACAGTCTCAACCTATTTACTTTCAATTTGTACTTTTAAAATTATCGTTTGGTTATATGAAAGGATATTTGTCAATGGTACTTTAAAAATATTTATCTTTTTCACCACTCTAACTATATACAGGGTGTCCCACTACGAACTCCACCGATGGATATCTGGGAAACCGCTAGAAGGATTTTTTTGAAACTGTGATGGTGTGATACGGACCGTGGGACCTACCAAGTTAAAATATTTTCAAGGTCATCGTACTTCCGGTTATACCGGAAGTTGATACTAACTTTCTTAATTAAATGGAACCCCCTGTATATTATTGCATTTTTTGGAACATATTGCACACTCCCCATACTTAGGATTGACCGTTTCCGAGATATTTAGATTTTTAAGCAAAAATTGACAGATGCAGACTGTCGACAAAATTTAGTTTTCCCGGAAATATACACCGTGTCCACCTAGTGCGCGTAAGTCCAATATCTAGGTTAATAAAAGATATAACTTAATTTTTTTTCTACAGAATTGCCTACTTTCCCGAGCTGCACAAAATGAAAATATATTTGCATATACAGGGTGTTCAGTTTTTCCTGGGCAGGTACCAACTTAATTTTTTTAAATGGAAACCTATATTTTTTATGGCATTATCGAATTCTACGTGAAAAATTAAC